AGCTCTAGCTCTTTGGGTTCTTTAAAAGAAGATTTTTAAGTTTTTACTATATGCATATAGGAAAAATCAGTGACCCCTAGGGCGGGGCCAATTTTGACCCCAGGGCTTTTATTTGAACAAACTTGGTAGACACCCATTAGAAGATGTTTCATGCTAAATATCTTAGCTCTAGCTCTTTGGGTTCTTTAAAAGAAGATTTTTTAAGTTTTTACTAGATACATATAGGGAAAATCAATGACCCCCTGGGGCGGGGCCAATTTTGACCCCAGGGCTTTTATTTGAACAAACTTGGTAGATACTCACTAGAAGATGTTTCATGCCAAATATCTAAGCCTTAGCTCTTTGGGTTTTTTAGAAGAAGATATTTAAAGTTTTTTCTTTTGGTTGCCATGGCAACCAGAGTTCTGTATGGAATTAAATTCTTTGAACAATTTTCAAAGGTGACCACCAAAGGAACATTCCTGTGAAGTTTGGATGAAATTGGCTCAGTGGTTTATGAGGAGATGTCATTTAAAGTAAAAGTTTACAGACGACGGACGAAAAGTGATCACAAAAGCTCACCCTGTCAGTGACAGGTGAGCTAAAAATATTATATACCATACCTGTAAATTAAGAAAGGGGTCATGATGGCTCGGTTTAAGAGGTGGCTGGTAGATGGGAACAAGATTGGCAAAGGTACTGCAACTCCGGAAACAGACAACAACTCATTGAAACAATAGAGCACACTAGGACAATAGCCTACTAAGATTATAGCCCACTGAGATTACGGGCCACTAAGACAATAGCCCATGTGGACCATACCTCACTGTTTATATCACATTTTTGAAATAAAATAGCAACTAGAAATGTGTCCATAGGACATGACTGCCCCCACACTCCACCGTTTTGTCAATTTTATGACTCTAGGTCAAATATATTTTGGGCTACATGTGCCTCATGTTGAAAACTAAAAATCTTTTTATGAGTAAAGGGCAAGAACATTACAAAATTAATACTGAATAAATCCACAAGCAAACCCAAGGTGCACAAGTACAGTGTACATGCTGACCAACATTCTTGTAAACTTTCAGACATACAGGTCAAATACTTTTCGAGTTGAAAACTGCAAATTTTACTAAGTCAAGGGTAATAATTCTACAAATACTGAATAAATCTACACACAAATACCAAGTTGCACAACTTAACATGCTGAGCAACATTCCTGTAAAGTTTCATTACTCTAGGTTAAATACTTTTTAAATTATGTGCTACAAAGTTGAAAATTGAAAATTTTTACTAAGTCAAGGGCAATTACTCTACAAATACTAAACATTCATGTAAAGTTTCATGACTCTAGGTCAAATACTTTTTGAGCTACTTGCGACACAAGTTGAAATTGCAAAGTTTTACTAAGTCAAAGGGCAATAACTACAAACACTGAATAAATCTACAGAAAAGTACCACGGTGCACAAGTACACATGCTGATTAACATTCCTGTAAAGTTTCATGACTCTAGGTTAAATACTTTTTGAGCTAAATGCTCCACATAAGAACAGACGTTCAGATGTCCCCCCCACCCCCAAAGTGGGAGCAAAAAAGGATTCAACTAGAAATGTGTCCATAGGACACGGATGCCCCCACACACCACTGTTCTGTCAATCTTATGACTCTAGGTCAAATATATTTTGGACTACATGTGCCACAAGTTGAAAACTAAAAATCAACAAAGGGCCATAATACTGTTGCATTTGGTCGCAGCAGAAATTCCTTCCTGTACTACCATCTACACATTAAGGTTGTTCATCCCTGGAAGTTTAAGCAAAATCTGCCATCCGGTTTAAGAGGAGTTGCGTTCACAAAATTTCTACATAGTGAAAAAATCAACAAAGGGCCATAATTCTGTTAAATTTGGTCGCAGCAAAAATTCCTTCCTTTACTACCATCTACACATTAAGGTTGTTCATCCCTGGAAGTTTAAGCAAAATCTGCCATCCGGTTTAAGAGGAGTTGCGTTCACAAAATTTCTACATAGTATATAGTGAAAAAATCAACAAAGGGCCATAATTCTGTTAAATTTGGTCACAGCAAAAATTCCTCCGTTACTACCATCTACACATTAAGGTTGTTCATCCCTGGAAGTTTAAGCAAAATCTGCCATCCGGTTTAAGAGGAGTTGCGTTCACAAAATTTCTACATAGTATAGTGAAAAAACCAACAAAGGGCCATAATTCTGTTAAATTTGGTCGCAGCTAAAATTCCTTCCTTTACTACCATCTACACATTAAGGTTGTTCATCCCTGGAAGTTTAAGCAAAATCTGCCATCCGGTTTAAGAGGAGTTGCGTTCACAAGATTTCGGGACTACGGACAGACGGACGAACGGACGGACGGACACTCGGACGGACAAGTGCAACGCTATATGCTCCCACTACATTGAATTACTTGAACTCCTATTTGGTTCAACAGAAATATCAGAATTTTAAAAAAGCTTTTACTAATGATTTATTTTTAGCTCGACTATTTGATAAGAATAAGCAGAGCTATACTAGTCACCCGAACATCGGCATCGGCGTAACCTCTTATGTTAAGGTTTCTGTATACTCAAATATGTTCAAAGTCCATAGGCATATGGCTTTGAAACTTTGCACATTTGTTCACCATCATGCCCCTAACCTGTAGACAGGAGGAAGTAACTCTATCAAGCATTTTGACAGAATTATGCCCCTTCATCAACTTAAAATTTACTTTAAAATTTGTGTACCACCTCAGATATTTTCATATTTCATTGACATCTTGCTTTGAAACAAGTTGAAATTTTATACACTTCTTTGTGAGCATAATAGGACTCTCCTATTATATTGCGTAATGAGACTATCAGTTTTCGTAATTTCTGACCTGAAAATATTTGATATGTATTATGCAAGAAAAAGAATCAAACACTGGCTGTCGGTATAGATGGGAATATCTAGCTCTAAGGTAACTGTTTAGTGGAAACTTGGCAGAGCCTCATTACCGCGTGAACAGTTACCCTCAAGCTAGATATTCCGGTCTGTACTGGCAGTCAGTGCAAGATTTTTATAGCATTAATATAAAACATTTAGTACCATAGAAAAAAAATTCAGTGGTTTCTGTATTGTTGGGTGGAAGCTGGGATTTATATTCTATAAAAAGAACTACTCAATGACAACTACTCCAAAGTTTCTTATAAATCTGACAAGTGGTTAAGGTTGACTTGTCATTTAAAGCCTTTATTATGTTAAGCCATGTTGTTCAGTGGTTCAGAATAGTTTTAGTTAATTTTGTAGAAACCGGTCCAAAGCTTGTTCCAGTATTGTTTCATCACAATTGGCTAAGTCAGGTTTAAGACAAAATATTGTTTACATGATAGACAATGCACAATTAGTGAGGGCTAAGAAAAGTTAGGTCTGTGTTTCAGGTTCATGTAATTTTGCATACAAAAGGAAAAAAAAAACATGTCATGGATGAGTATATATCCCTTAGTATTACATTTGTCATTGTTTAATCAAAACTTTTGCTATTTGGAAAATATAAATGCACAAGTACTTTGACATTTATCTGGTTCCAGTATTCATACTTATATAGTGTACTGTATATTTATCTGGTTCCAGTATTCATACTTATATAGTATACTGTATATTTTAAAAGAGTTTGTCTGTTATTGAAATTTTGCCTTTTGACAGTGGTCTGTGATATGCAGGCTTCATAACCTCTGAGACACTCTCAAAACTATTACAGTTTAGTTATTCCAACAGTTTTCTCCTTCACAGCAAGATTCAAGATTTTATTTCAAAAGGCATAAACATTTTACAATGTCCACGCCACAAACAAAATGACTGTTACAAATAGTATATGAGAAAAGTATGTAGTAAACTGAATATAAATTATATATACAATGACATTTTTATATTATAAAGCACCACATATACATTGTATTTCAAAATATGTTAATTTGTAAATAAAGGTATGCTACATATTTACAATATCAATGTATGAAAAAAAAAAATCAATTATTCTTTTTGGCACATAATACATTTTTTTTAAAGTAGATAAACAATTCCATGCTTACAATTTTTCATTAAAATATAAATTTATTTAGAGAAGGCCAAGAGCAATAATATTTTGGTAGATATTTCCAGCACACTGTCTTTTTCTCAGGAATAATATGTTGTATTTCATAGAAAGGCCACAATGAAGGATCCATGTTCACCACATGATGAACACATCTGCTGATAATTTATATTTCTATATTACACACAATTTGCATGTTTAACTGTGTGTACAACTAAATGTGGTGTTTGTAGGACATAGTGGGGCATGGTGGTGTTAGTGGGGCATGTTGGTGTTAGTGGGGCATGATAGGACATGGTGGTGTTAGTGGGGCATGGTAGGGCATGGTGGTGTTAGTGGGGCATGGTAGGGCATGGTGTTGTGAGTGGGGCATGGTAGGGCATGGTGGTGTTAGTGGGGCATGGTAGGGCATGGATGTGTCAGTGGGGCATGGTAGGGCATGGATGTGTTAGTAGGGCATGGTAGTGCATGCTGGTGTTAGTGGGGCATGGTGGTGTTAGTGGGGGCATGGTGGTGTTAGTGGGGCATTGTATGGCATGGTGGTGTTATTGGGGCATGGTGGTGTTAGTGTGGCATGGTAGGGCATGGTGGTGTTAGTTGGGCATGGTGGTGTTAGTGGGGCAATGGTAGGGCATGGTGGTGTTAGTGGGCATGATAGGGCATGGTGGTGTTAGTAGGACATAGTGGGACATGGTGGTGTTAGTGGGGCATGGTGGTGGTGTTAGTGGGGCATGGTGGTGTTAGTGGGGCATGGTGGTGTTATTGGGGCATGGTGGTGTTAGTGAGGCATGGTGGTGTTAGGGCATGGTGGTGTTAGTGGGGCATGGTAAGTAGCTTGCTGTTCAATTAGTTTGTTAATTTTACGCTAGACTATAAGATACTTCTACAATACACTACATAAACAATACTAAAATAATAAGAAAATATTTTACCTTGTGGTTGAACGCTGAATGCATCATCGTATAATCCCTCCTCATCATCCTTGTTACATGTAACATCATCACGTGTGTCATTACGTCTGACAGATGTTGCATCATCATACAAATCAATGATCTCATCAAGGTTATCTAGTGACTTCACTGTCTGCTCTACTCTGTAATATATAACATAATTGATTCATTTCATATATATATGGATATTTGTTCTATTATTTTATTTCCATGTATTATAAATAAATAAAGATTTATTATATATGTCATAAAGTTACTTTTAAAGTTGTAGATATTGTAATATCAAAAATAATACATGTATTTTGCACAGATATTCATGCAAGTATCAGAAAAAAACACTAACAAACAGAGCAAAATCCTTTCTTTTGTCATTTTTTGTTTTCAAGCCACTTGTCTCCATGCCAACTGTGTTTCTATTGAAAGAAACACAATGTTATATTTAAAATTTTCCTTATAAGTAGAACCCCAGAGATTTATGATTTCAGATTATGGGCTACAGTTATATGTGTATAACTTTATTTTCAATATGAAAGTTCTACAATGTGTGACACCTTGTAATTGAAAAATGGAGAAACAACAATAAGCTATAGGTAATACTAACTGGTTATTTTTTGTGAACAAGGCACTTCGCTTTCGTTCCTCTTCCCTGGCTGCTGACAACTTCCGTGACTTCTGTCGTCCTAAAAATCCACGAACAACTACAAAAAAAATAAATATATCATGACATTATATCATAAATAATTTCGAACTAAATACACATTGATGATTTTCAGTTTTTCATTAGAAGAGAATATAAATTTAATACAAAATGTATTCTTACTTCCTTGTGTCTACAATTAAAGTATGAGCATATAATACTGTGAGAAGTTGTGTTCTATTTCTGTACAGCATATTTTGTGACTATATTCTTTTCCTTCAGATAATATTATCAATTATTAAACAAACTATAAGAATTCCACCCTTTAAACAGCTTTATGCTTGGACAAGATCACAGACATATACATGTCACCTTTAAACACCAAAATCTCTATGTTGAAAGAAACCACACATGTATATGTCACCATGACATAACTTTTATATCTTCAAATGAAAATGTCTCTCCTCCGTGTAACATAATAAGTTAACTAGAAATGTGTCATCATGCCACGGATGCCCCCGCATGCAGCCAAAATTTCAGATGTTATAATATTTAGTTCCAAATTTGTTTGCACAAATTATTTTTTTCATTTTACAATGTAAGTTCAAAGCCCTTAAAACTTTTCAATGTTAACACAAACCATTTTCATACAATGTTCAAGGCACTGAAATTATTCAGTCTTAACCTTTTGAAAATAGCATATTTCATATTTGTAGCCAAAATAATGGCTACATACATTTCCACAAAAGTATGAGTGCTGAAACTGAAAGTTCAAAAGTTTTGAAAGATACGTTTGTCCAAAATCATTGAACCACGACCAAATTCAAACTTAAACTGCTTATTCCTAAGATGTATCTATATTATTTTGAAAGTGAAAGGGACATAACTCTGCAAAAAAATCATCGAACCATGACCAAATTCCAACTTGACCTGCCCATTCCTTTGACATATCCATATGTCAAATTTGAGTTGAATATGTAACACTGTCTGGTAGATAATGAACAGAAACTGTAAATTTCATATTATTTTCAAAGTAAAAGGGGCATTACTCTGCCAAAAATCGTCGAACCATGACCAAATTCAAACTTGGCCTGGGCATTCCAAAAACATATCCATATGTCAAATTTGAGTTGAATGTGTTGTACCGTTGGGGAGATAATAAACAGAAACTGAAAATTTCATATTATTTTCAAAGTGAAAGGGGCATAACTCTGCCAAAAATCATCGAACCATGACCAAATTCCAACTTGACCTGCCCATTCCTTTGACATATCCATATGTCAAATTTGAGTTGAATGTGTGCAACCGTTACTAAGATAATGAACGGAAACTGATGATGACGGAATGACGGAAGGACGGAACAGGGTAACACTATATGCCCCGGCCATTACATGGCGGGGGCATAATTAATTAAAGGCTCTAAATATGACTCCCTGACTGCACAATTTCTCCCACAATGCAACAGATGTATTAAAGAAACACTAACCTGCTTGTGCTGTGATGACCTTTCTCTCAAGGTCAAAGGTCAAATTATCAAGTTTCTCTACATGCGCACTCTTGAGAAACAATTTCGTTTTTCCAAACTGTAAAAATAAAATAAATTATACAAAATCAAAAAAGTATCCATAGACTTGTCGACCAGGTAATATTTATATTCAACACTGTAAGTTTGAGTACTGACTTAGCAAAACTTTCAGAAGAAATGATTATATGGATGACAAAAGTTACAAGGACAAGCATCCTGTTGTGAAAATTTTTACATGTGGAGGGAGAAATCAGATTGATATGAAATTCTCTGCATTGTTTCAAGCACAAGCAACCACCTAAGTAAACCCACCAACATTCTGTAAGCTAGGTGGATCACCTCCTATTATGAAAGTGGCTTGTAAAATTACAACTTACAGCAGTGAGGGGTAAGTGGTTCAAGCTCAGATACATGCTCACACACAGAAGACATCTTTATAAATTAAGGGATAACATTATTTGATATATCATACCTGTACATGTTCTAGTTTATATGTTTTCACTACCTCTTCACATTTCTGAATATCTGACATAGGACAGAATGCTGGCAGACAGCACTTCACCAATACATGATACCTGAAATAGTAATGATCCACTTTTACCTTCTATTGTTCACAATCTGAAGTCATTTTATCTATAGATGTGATTTTTTGTAATTTTCTTTTAAATAACTGACTTTATTTTTGGTCGACTAAATATTTTAAGCTTGTCATCTAAATATCTTGGCACAAACTAGCAAAATTCCATTTATATTGGTGAAATATTATATCTCATTTAGCTATCATTGCATAATGTAAGTATATATCAAAATGATAAATTAATACAAGGTGATAAAGAAACTGGTTTTATTACCTGGTTAAAAACTCATGAAATGGCAGTCGAAGTTCATATCCAAATTTCCTGATCTTCACAATCTCAGTGATGCCTGTGTAACGTAACTGTGCTAGAACATATTCCGGGACAAATGTGAACGCTGACTTCGTTGTATTAGGTTTAATACATCGTACAAAATGTGGACTTGATGCTTGTAGTTTACTGATTAATTCATTCAGAGAATTCTAAAATGATAAAAATAATAGTCTAATATATAATAAAAGGTAATTATTTGCCTGCTCTACCTATGTATCCCAGATAAACTAAATAATTTAAAGATGAATTATGCTCAAATTTGATGTCTGAAAAAAACAATTACCATACAGTCTCTTTTGAAATGTAAAATAAACATCTTTTAAATATACATAGAGAAAATATGTTACATTTTCTCTATATCTAATGTTTGTATAATAATTAAAAACATATGATAATGATCAGTAAAAGTTAGGTATCAAATTCTCCTAGCCTCTGTATCACTTGCTATATCCCTGATAACTAACAACTTCCACACATGATTTATTTGATTTAATTGCAGAGAACTAATGGCATTATATAGATAGTTCTAAATGTTGTTTTCCAAATCAGAAACAGAATTATAGTATATTATTAACATTTAAACCCTGGCATTGCAGGTACACTAATACTACCTGTTAGTGTGACCTTGACCTTTTAACTTAAGACCTGGTTCAGGTGCATTTATAGCAAGTTATACATAAAGCCCTCCATGCATGAAGAACATAATGCTCCAGACAAAAACTGGACACAGTGTGCCTACCAGCCCACCCACCCACCATAATACTACAAATGTTTAAACAATTTAAGAATCTCCAACATCATGTATCAAGGAAATTGTTAATAATTCAAATCAGGAAATCACAAAAAAGGAAAATGAGAAAAATTAAATCAAAACTTGCATTGAATAAAAATAAAAGTGAATTGCACAGCCTTAAAAAGTTGTACCAAAGTAGAACAGTATGTTAGAAATATAATGTGATAATTGATTCTGCATTATATGAAGACAAATGAATGAAAATTTTATTACTCAAAACAGGCAAAAATGTTTTATGGATTGTAATTTCTAGAAAGTAAACCATAAATTGTACAGTTTTTACTGAAGCATTATGAAGTATATTTTATTTTCTTACTCTAAAATGAAAGGCCATTGTGGAAGGACCTTTCTTCTCCACACTGACATTCTTAGTTTGTTTTTTCTGCTCCTTATTGTTTGTCTTGAATTTCTTAAAGAATTCAAATGGAGATGATGATTTCTTCACTGTACGTCTACTATTCCTTCGTTGCCTAGCACTTGGTGCTAGGGAACCAGTTCTAGATATCCGAGACTGGAATAATTCTTTAATCAAGAGATGGTTGCTAGCTGTAATACAAAACATATCAGATAGTCATATATTCTGACAAATAACTTATAAAAGGGAAATAACAGCTTACTAGTTCACTTGTCCAGTTAGGTAGAGACTTATTATTTTTCTCATGTATTATTCATTATACACAGAATATTGTGTAAATGAGCTAGGTAATGAAATAATTTTACAATCATGGAGATATTATAAAAGCCACATTGTTCAGGTAAGTGTCAGTGACATAAACCAATAACTTTGTTAACGAAGGTCCCTCAGACAAGTTGCTATGACTTACTTTTCATTGTATATAGAATACTGTTGGGTAATGTATCTCTGTTTTTCTCTAACATTCCTGTCACATCATATTGAACACTACCAGCATAATGTACAACTGTAAAACACAGTCCCCCATCTCGTGGTGTCTTATAACATGCCGAGTGTTTCTTTCCTACAACATAATGTACTTAGTATTACTGTACATAATGGTCATACAATCATAGATGATATGACAAGACATTTCCAGTCCTGGGGCAATATCTGCCTGAATGCAAATTTATTTTAGGAATCAAAAATATTCTTTCAATTAAAGACCCATTCATGAAATGTGTCTTACAAATGTTTTATCATAATCACTTCAGATACAAGGTTACACAACATGGTGCCCACTATTTATAAGGGGGTTATTGTACAATTAGTAAAAAAAAAAGTCAAACTTTGGGAGGTGGGGGACAAACTTAAAAATGATGGTTTTATCCCGGCCTGGAAAAAAAAAGATAGATGCTTGAATCGATAATCAACTATCAGTGGTTGCGTAATTTTTGTTTGTTGAAATGGTTTAAAATTACAGCAGAAGAAAGCCAGAAAAATACATACATAGTCATACTGATTGGGGAAAAGGTGGAATTTTAATGAATATTAAACATATATTTTCAAGCAGATTATATGAAGTGGGGGTTGTTTCTTTTTTTGGCCATTTTTTTGTGTGCACTGCATGCAATAGGTATTTATTTTTTACATGCATCATTATTTATTTATGTGACTCAAATGCAATTTTATGTGGATGGGAACTCTGTCTTAAAACAAAGAACAAACATGTATTTATTCAAGTTGTTATGCTACCTATTTTAACTCTATTTTTTCCAATAAATAAAACCAGCACTCCAGAATATACATGGACTGGTGTTCTATTCTAAAAACTAGACAGTCATGACAGGGTACACTCCCTTGTTTATACTGTAACATTAATAACAGACTATATACATGATGGTGATAGCCAAACCCTGTCTTCCGTACGTTAATTTCATTATGATTAATATTTCTGCCAAACACAATGTAGTTTCAATTTCTTTCTATTGGTTAAAAATTTTTGAAAACCATACATAATGTTTAAGTGTAACCTTGGTTACAAATTACTAGCAGACAATTTTACTTTATTATTTTCTTCATTCATTACAATCTTCATTTTTTATCATATAAAACCACAAAACTTCTGTATGCTTCTTAAAGCTGGATAACTGTCCTTCATGACAACTTCATCTGTGACCTCAATCACTTGGCCATGGAGGATCCAGATTCAATTAATTCCTAATTTAATTAACTGCAATCATGAATAATATTAAGATATACATGTGGAGTAATATACCTGTATTTTGGTGAAGTTTAGTTGCCAGTGATTTGTCTGTAGCTTTAGGAAAGTTGCTTTCTTCATCAAGTATTGCCAACAAACCTGTATGTCTCTGTGTGTTACAAATATATCTTTATGTACTTTATACATTCATATATATATATCATGATAGTTGACAATAAACAACATCTATTATACTATAATAAACAATATGTAAATTCAAGTAGTCAACAGTTTTCTTAAACTAACTGTCTCAGAGAACCTGTTCCAAAATTCAACCAGAGTATTTATAATCTAAATGAATTATATATTCTTTTTGTCTTATTTTGTTTCTATGATCTCCATGAAATTTGCCGTACTCATCATTATTCACAACTAAAACAAGTAAAGTAAAGTTTACCTCAAAGAATACATTAAGTATTGCCTGGTTATTATTGTAATCCAATTCAACCAATGGAACACCTTCTAACAAACAGTCTTCTTGTTCACTTTGGAATATGTTATCATTAGTGTACTGTTGAATCTGCTCATTGGCTACATTGATACAAATCTGTAAATATTCAACCAATGAAATACATTGTTATAACTTGACTTTTTTTTCTTAAATGGAAAAGGGTTATAGAGTGTAATGATAAGCCCAAGCAATGAGAAAGATTTCATATATCTACTTTTAGTTCGGACAATTTTTGTATTGAACAATAAGTCTTGAACTGGAAACTATCACGAGATACTACATAAATTTTACCTTCAGATTAAGTTTTTGATATATGGGGGAAACAACAAAGATGGCATTTCTGTTGTTTAATGTTCAACTTCATTTCATAATTTTATTTTTATCTATCAAACATAAATTTATAAATACCATAATGCCATATTACTTATTTCAGCATTTCCATGATCATAATGGTATATCTAATATGTTTTTTTGTAGATTGAGCCCTGGAATATAATTTGTAATGGACCAAGAATGTTTGACAGACAACTGACAGACTGTTGTTTTATCTATCTGGTGTTTATATCATAGAAAACTCTCCTTTATATAGTTACCAGTATGTAAGACTTTATTTATTATTACATAATACTGTTCAGTTATTTTAAGTGAAGTTTTAGAATAGTTTATACTTGTAACCTTGTTTGCTGTAAAGTATACCTTTTTCATATTAATTACAAAACAATACCTGCTCAAAACTATTCTGAGGAAAATTTTCAAATCCAAAGATGTCCAAAATACCAAGCTGATTCTCTTCACTGAAAGTATAGAACAAACAAAACATTTAACATTTCATCTCCTCCCAATAAAAATAAACACCAACAGATCTTTATAATAAAATGTATGACAGGTTTAAGTGACCCTGTGATATCTGGCACTCAAAAAGGACTGTAAATATGAGAAACTCTGCTCTGAGTCAATTCACATTGCCCATAGAGTAGCCATTAGAAATTAACGGACAGAAAAAAGACTTTGCTAGAATAAAACATTCTCATTGCAAAATAACAAGTAATACTACATAAATACACAAAGGAAAACTTATCATATTTGAAAAGGGATCTATATATACATCCGAAATTGAAAAAAAAAAGATTTTTACAATAATGTGTGACTAAGAATGTTTGAATTATAAAGCACAACATAAAGTGTTATTGTAATTGACTAGATGTAAAAATGTTGTCATAACACAAGAAGATGATTAAACGATGTAACTTTAACTGAAGAATATTGTAAAATATCCATTTTATTATAAAATTAAAGAGATGTGATATGAAGTGATATTATATTATAAAGAATTACCCATGTTCATAAACAGGTTGTATTAGTGTATTTATTCCATTCACAATCCAGCTAAACAAACGTGCATATAAAGATTTAGCAAGGGTGTCACGACAATCTACAGCTTGCTGGACCGTTCTCTCCTTCTTTATCTGCTCTCCTGATATACATGCAACATGCAATACTAAACTGTAGACAACATGGTTTATATAGCTGGTAAACTCAGTTTTGGTATCACAATTTAAGAAATGAGTTAAATTGATTTCAAGTCTCACCACAAACAGTGGTAATTATGGTAACAACAGTTTTACTGACGTAGAATTACCTCAGATACCTTCTGTGTATGAGCAAACTGTTTCAGTATAACCAACGACTTTCAATGGCCAACAAACAAGGACGGTAGAAAGTAATCATATGTGAATATATTAAACCACTCAACAACAACAAGAACATGCAAAACTACAAAAGTTAGTTTTTCACTGACAGATACAAACTTCATAAAGATAATATGGCATCCTTAATGTTCTGGCACTGTTTTCAGCTGACATTCTGTTTTAAATTTTTTAATATAATAGCAGTTGTTGGCAAGGTTTTTTGCCCATTCCAGATGAATACTTTTTCATTCTCTTCTATGTCATATATGAAAACTATTAACCATTCAATAGCAGAAAAGTTTAATACAATGTATCATAACCACAGCAAGTAAGTAAAACAACATGCAATCCACATGGTATTAATGCAGCACAATTAACATTCATATAGAAGAACATGTTAAACAAACCTCTTGTAACAGTGTAGTCAGCCACTAGAGCAGATCTTAATTCTTCTACTGATACATCTAACATCTCCGATACTAAAAATAACACACTATCTTCAAATATTACCTTATACATCATGCTTTATTGTAAAAATAATACAATATCTTCAAATATTACCTTATACATTATGCTTTATTGTAAAAATAATACAATATCTTCAAATATTACCTTATACATTATGCTTTATTGTAAAAATAATACAATATCTTCAAATATTACCTTATACATCATGCTTTATTGTAAAAATAACACAATATCTTCAAATATTACCTTATACATTATGCTTTATTGTAAAAATAACACAATATCTTCAAATATTACCTTATACATTATGCTTTATTGTAAAAATAACACAATATCTTCAAATATTACCTTATACATCATGCTTTATTGTAAAAATAACACAATATCTTCAAATATTACCTTATACATTATGCTTTATTGTACATGCAAGCATTAAAACAAACTAACTGAAAGTGTTGAACACAATATTGTTGTGATTTAAAATGAACTAACATGTTCCTCTATTTCTCCTTAGAACTATATCTATATCAGAGAAAAAAATGACGCAAGACAGAGTAAACACATGTTCATATACAGGTAGATAGATGACTGTAGCAAACAGGAAATATATTCTCATACATAAGGAGAAATATTTTAAATAAGAAAACAGAGGTAACATACCAATAGTCAACATGCCCGTGTTAGTGACCTGAGCTGCCTCATTATTACCAACACCATGAAACTCTATCTCCCCAAGATGTAATACAATAGACAATGTCAGCAGTAAATTCTGTATATCCTGTGTAAATGATGTTTAATTTATGTTTAATTGTCGTTTAATTGTTGTTTAATTGATGTCTGTTGTTTAATTGATGTTAGTTTTATTTTACAGAACTTTTTTATGAAGATGTATGAGCACACATAACAGAAGTAGCAAATAAGATTACTATCTATACAATATCTTTACATGTACTTAGTAAATGACAAGCAATATGCTCTTTTAATGGCAACATATATAATCTTTCATTCCAAATAGGACAATTAATGTTTCTTGTTGATTTCAAAGTTTTATTATTAGTTAAATATTCAGAAAGAACATTTCAAAGAGAAGATGTTCACTTACTGTAGAAGTGAAGCCAATATATTTTAAACATTCTTTAACTTCCCAGAACTTTGCTTTATTTTCTGATGTTGATATATCAGCTGGAATACTTGATCTTAAATATCTAAACACAAAACATCAATGAATGAATGAGTATTAAAGTGTAATCTAAACATCATGATTTGATAAACATTATAAAGATTTCTTTACCTAAATGTCTTCATTTAATCAAGTACCCTCAATATTTGATTATAAGCATGTATCAAAAATAAGCCATCATTTTATTACTGTCAAAATTAAAAAATTTAACTTGGAAGATAGCCTGTCTGAATATTGAACAGATTATCAGATAATTCTGATGAAAAGATCTTAAATCTCAAACTTCATCACATACATGTACCCTTAAATTGATTAAAGTTATCTAACAAATATTCTCATTAATTAATATCTATTTTTAATCTGATTCCCCTCCCCTCTCACCCATCTACCCCTAGAAGGGGACAAGTATGCATGTTTTAACACCTGCTGTTTCCAGCACGCAAACCTTATGCTCCTGTTTTGAAAAGGTAAACAATACAACAGATTAATTATGTTTAGCTTTGGGATAAATTTACCAGACTTTTTGAATAACACAAGGGTATGGGTATATTTCAAAAAACAAATACACTTACACTACAAAATACAGACACTTAATGGTTAAATAAGACATCCTTAAAATAAGCCCCAATCTTCTACCAAAAAATAAAACAAACTGCAGCTTTTTATCGGATTTTTAGGGCATATAAAGATATGTTTACCTGAATGTCTTCATTTGATCAAGTTTATAAAGACTTGTTTCTTCATGAGATAGTCCTGCCATCATCCAGTAAAATATGTGGAAATTTTGTTCTCCTTTACCTTGATGTACTATCCTTGATTTCTCCAATAAATACTCAGAAATCTTTGCTGAAAAAAAATGCAATAAACTATTTATTCAGAACAAAATATGCGGCCATTTCATTAAAGAACCTCCACTGAGCTCAAAAAGCCTAAAAACAAAATTATAGAATTTTATATGGAACAAGCAAAGGTTTTAAATTGGAAAATTCTGCAAAGGCTAATAATTATACTATGAATTAAATTGAAAGTCCAGTTAGAGCAATTTTTAACCCAAGTTGTGTAAAATATGTTGCAATGCTTCAGTGACTTAAGCCTTAACAATTTTTGGTCATTTTACACAATAAATTATTATTCTGGAAAAACTAAGAGACTTATATCAAATGGTACACAAATTAACCTCAGTGTAGTCCCTGTTAGCTCACTTTTTACTGCATTTTTTTATCCCTTTTTGTTAGATTTTAGATGTTTAGATATCATTATTTACATTAACTCTGCCATCATTGCTAAGCAGGTAAAACAAGAGCCATGTCAACATGGCCATCCCTCGCCGAATGTGTTTACTCATTGGAAGAATATATTATTATGTAGTAGAGAAGAATAATTCAATTGAAAGAGGTCTTTTGGTAATGAAAACTGATGGCTGAAGTGATTACAGATTTGAAACCTATGTGAATACTGATGGCTGAAAATAACAAAGGGCAATAACTGAAAAATAATGCAGGGTAAGATACCATTATTGTGTGCTGCACTCCTCCTTAATGAGATCTATCCACCTATGAAGTTTCATGCTGATATCTCAAAGGCTTTTATAGTTATGCTCTGGACAAAAATTAAGCATGAAAAATAACAAAGGGCAATAACTGAAAAATTATGCAGGGTAGAGTTATCATTCTTGTGTGCTGCACTCCTCCTCAATGAGATCTATCCACCTATGAAGTTTCAAAATGATACCTCTAACACTTTTTGAGATAAGCTCCGAAAATAACAAAGGGCAATAACCCAAAATTTATAATGGGAAGAGTTATCGTTCTTGTGCACAGCATTCCTCCTCAATAAGATCTATCCACCTATGAAGTTTCATGTTGATATCTCAAAGACTCTTTGAGTTATGCTCCACTCAGGTGAAAAATTAAGTATGAAAAATAACAAAGGGCAAAAACTCAAAAATTATGAAGGGTAGTTATCATTCTTTTGCACTGCACACCTCCTGAGTGAGATCTATCCAACTATGAAGTTTCATGTTGATATCTCATAAGCTTTTTGAGTTATGCTCTGGACAAAAATTAAATTCGAAAAATAACAAAGGGCAATAACTGCAAAATTTTCAGGGTAGAGTTATTACTTTTGTGCACTGCACTCCTCCTCGATATGATCTATCCACCTATGAAGTTTCAAGTTGATACCTCAAATACTTTTTGAGATATGCTCCGGACAAAGATGTCGGACGGAAGGACGGACAGAAGGAGGGACAGACGGACGGAGACTATTTTTATATCCCCCGCTGCCTTTCGGCGAGGGATAATTAAAAAGATAAAATGACTATAAATATTGTGTTAGCTAAATAGTGTTAACCTAAAATAATAGTTGAGGCATACTTTGGTTTAAACATATTTATTTAAGCTTGATTGCGAAACAAGTTCTTGTAACATACAGTATATTGATCACTTTCGAGCCCACTTCCTGGAACCAACCAGTACTCTGTGGTGTCATATGAAGAAACATAGTTGTGACCCGAGTAGGGCCCGAACGCATTATCCATTGGTTGAGAGGCAGACACCTTAATCACTAAGCTACCACTCCCCTTAAATTAAAAGGTATATTTTGCATCAGTTATACTACCTCCACAGACTTTTCCCTCCTTTGAGAAGTCTAGTTCGACATATTTCCCGAACCTACTCGAGTTGTTGTTCATTATAGTGACAGCATTACCAAATGCTTCCAACAGCGGATTTACCTACAATTTATAAATAAAACTCTTAAAACTGTCCTAGGTTTATTTCCTATATAAGATTGAATGCATAACAATGATGTTTCCATTTTTTTTTCTGATCTGCTATTTTTTTAACATAATAATCTTTAAGCAAATATGACAACAAAAACTCTAAATTGAAATAATCAATTAAAACTGACTCTCTCTTAACTTAATGAATATAATAACCTTTTAACTTTACCAATTAACTTAACCAGAAAAGGTACAAAGACACAACATATCAAAACTTTTTTAAAGCTGCATGCCTCCAGATGAGACAAAATATTTCAAGAACATCAAACTTGAAGATTTTAAGAAAATATTTAAGTAATAATTTATATGTTATTTGCGATAAATGAGTGACTTTAAAGTATCTATCACAAATTGCTACTGCATGACAGCATAGAAAAGGCTATTTTTAATATTTTGACCTCTTTTTTGTAACATTAGTGGATTGTGAGTGCCTTTTGCAATCTACTCCACATACCTGGATTGTGAGTGTCTTTTGCAATGTACTCCACATAAGTGGATTGTGAGTGCCTTTTGCAATGTACTCCACATAAGTGGATTGTGAGTGCCTTTTGCAATGTACTCCACATAAGTGGATTGTGAGTGTCTTTTGCAATGTACTCCACATAAGTGGATTGTGAGTGCCTTTTGCAATGTACTCCACATAAGTGGATTGTGAGTGCCTTTTGCAATGTACTCCACATAAGTGGATTGTGAGTGCCTTTTGCAATGTACTCCACATAAGTGGATTGTGAGTGCCTTTTGCAATGTACTCCACATAAGTGGATTGTGAGTGCCTTTTGCAATGTACTCCACATAAGTGGATTGTGAGTGCCTTTTGCAATGTACTCCACATAAATGGATTGTGAGTGCCTTTTGCAATGTACTCCGCATAAATGGATTGTGAGTCCTTTGCATGTACCCATAAATGGATTGTGAGTACCTTTTGCAATGTACTCCGCATAAGTGGATTGTGAGTGCCTTTGCAATGTACTCCACATACTGGATTGTGAGTGCCTTTGCAATGTACTCCACATAAGTGGATTGTGAGTGCCTTTTGCAATGTACTCCACATAAGTGGATTGTGAGTGTCTTTTGCAATGTACTCCACATAAGTGGATTGTGAGTGCCTTTTGCAATGTACTCCACATAAATGGAGTGCCTTGCAATGTACTGAGTGTACTCCACATAAGTGATTGTGAGTGTCTTTGCAATGTAAACCACATAAGTGGATTGTGAGTGCCTTTTGCAATATTTTGCAATGTACTCCACATAAGTGGATTGTGAGTGCCTTTTGCAATGTACTCCACATTAGTGGATTGTGAGTGCCTTTTGCAATGTACTCCACATAAGTGAATTGTGAGTGCCTTTTGCAATGTACTCCACATAAGTGGATTGTGAGTGTCTTTTGCAATGTAAACGGCATAAGTGGATTGTGAGTGCCTTTTGCAATGTACTCCACATAAGTGAATTGTGAGTGCCTTTTGCAATGTACTCCACATTAGTGGATTGTGAGTGTCTTTTGCAATGTACTCCACATAAGTGAATTGTGAGTGCCTTTTGCAATGTACTCCACATAAGTGGATTGTGAGTGTCTTTTGCAATGTACTCCACATAAGTGATTGTGATTGCCCTTTTGCAATGTACTCCGCATAAGTGGATTGTGATTGCCTTTTGCAATGTAAACCACATAAGTGGATTGTGAGTGTCTTTTGCAATGTACTCCACATTAGTGGATTGTGAGTGCCTTTTGCAATGAAATCCACATAAGTGGATTGTGAGTGCCTTTTGCAATGTACTCCACATAAGTGGATTGTGGATTGTGAGTGCCTTTTGCAATGCAATCTGCATAAGTGGATTGTGAGTGCCTTTTGCAATGTACTCCGCATAAGTGGATTGTGAGTGCCTTTTGCAATGTAATCCGCATAAGTGAATTGTGAGTGCCTTTTGCAATGTACTCCGCATAAGTGGATTGTGATTGCCTTTTGCAATGTAATCCACATAAGTGGATTGTGAGTGTCTTTTGCAATGTACTCCACATAAGTGGATTGTGAGTGCCTTTTGCAATGTACTCCACATAAGTGATTGTGAGTGTCTTTTGCAATGTACCCCACATAAGTGGATTGTGAGTGCCTTTTGCAATGTACTCCACATAAGTGGATTGTGAGTGCCTTTTGCAATGTACTCCACATAAGTGGATTGTGAGTGCCTTTTGCAATGTACTCCACATAAGTGAATTGTGAGTGCCTTTTGCAATGTACTCCACATAAGTGAATTGTGAGTGCCTTTTGCAATGTACTCCGCATAAGTGGATTGTGAGTGCCTTTTGCAATGTAATCCGGAGGCATGCTGCTTTATGTTTTGTGATTGTAGTCTGTTTTGATCAACTAGATTCAGTCACATATAGCCTTATCCTCAACATGAAACTAGAAATGTGTCCATAGGACACGGATGCCCCCACACGCCACTGTTCTGTCAATCTTATGACTCTAGGTCAAATATTTTTTGGACTACATGTGCCACAAGTTGAAAACTAAAAATCAACAAAGGGGCATAAAATTCTGTTAAATTTGGTCGCAGCAAAAATTCCTTCCTTTACTACCATCTACACATTAAGGTTGTTAATCCCTGGAAGTTTAAGCAAAATCTGCCATCCGGTTTAAGAGGAGTTGCATTCACAAAATTCAACATAGTATAATAATGAAACAAGGGGGCCATGATGGCCCTAGATCGCTCACCTGAATTATCAAAACTCATCCAAACAATTACCTAGACAAGCATTCTGACCAAGTCTCATGACAGGTGAGTCAAAAATGTGACCACTACAGTGTTAACAAGGATTATCCATATTTGAGCAGTGCGACCTAGTTTTTTACCCAGGTGACACATATTCAAACTTGACCTAGAAATCATCAAAACAAACTTTCAGACCAATTTCCAGGATACTTGGATCAAAACAGTAGCAACTAGAGTGTTAACAAGATTTTTCTATTTTTAGCTCCGGTGACTAGTTTCACATGCGATTTCGAACTCATCCAAGCAATTACCTAGACAAACATCCTGACCAAGTTTGATGATAATTGAGTCGAAAATGTGACCACTAGAATGTTAACAAGGTTTTTTCCATATTTGGGCGGTGTGACCTAGTTTTTTCATCCAAGATGACCCATGTTCGATCTTGACTTAGAAATCATCAAAACAAACTTTCAGACCAATTAACAGAATATTTGGATCACAACAGTAGCCACTAGAGTGTTAACAAGATTTTTTCTATTTTTAGCTCCTGTGACCTAGTTTTTCATCCGAAATGTCCCATGTTCGATTTATTCCCAGCAATGACCTAGACAAGTTTCCTGACCAAGTTTGATGACAATTGAGTCAAAATTGTGACCACTAGAGTGTTAACAAGGTTTTTCTATTTTTAGCTCCTGTGACCTAGTTTTTCATCCGAGATGACCCATGTTCGAACTCATCCGAGCTATCACCTAGACAAGCATCTTGATCAAGTTTGATGATGATTGATGCAAAAATGTGACCGCTAAAGTGTTAACAAGGTTTTTCTATTTTAGCTCTGGTGACCTACTTTTTCATCCGAGATGACCCATGTTCGAACTCATCCAAGCTATCAACTAGATAAGGCATCCTGACCAAGTTTGATGATGATTGATGCAAAAATGTGACCACTAAAGTGTTCACAAGGTTTTTCTATTTATAGCTCCGGTGACCTAGTTTTTCATCCGAGATGACCCATATTCGAACTCATCCGAGCTATTATCTAAAACAAGCATCCTGACAAAGTTTGATGATGATTGGGTCAAAAATGTGACCACTAGAGTGTTCACAAGGTTTTTTTCTATTTTTAGCTCCTGTGACCTAGTTTTTTCATCAGAGATGACCCATGTTCGAAACTCATCCAAGCAATTGACTAGACAAGCATTCTGACCAAGTTTGATGATGATTGGTTCAAAAATGTGACCACTAGAGTGTTCACAAGGTTTTTCTATTTATAGCTCCTGTGACCTACTTTTTCATCCGAGATGACCCATGTTCGAACTCATCCAAGCTATCACCTAGACAAAACATCCTGACCAAGTTTGATGATGATTGGGTCAAAAATGTGACCTCTAGAGTGTTCACAAGGTTTTTCTATTTTTAGCTCTTGTGACCTAGTTTTTCATCCGAGATGACCCATGTTCGAACTCATCCGAGCTTTCAACTAGATAAGGCATCCTGACCAAGTTTGATGATGATTGAAAAAATCGCAAAAATGCGACCGCTAGAGTGTTCACAAAGCAATTGTGGACGGCCGGACGGACGACGGACGACGGACATTCACCGATCCTAAAAGCTCACCCCTGAGCAAGCTCAGGTGAGCTAAAATCAAAAAAGGACCATAATTCTGTTAAATTTGGTTGCAGCAAAAATTCCTTTCTTTATTACCATCTACACATTAAGGTTGTTCATTCCTGGAAGTTTAAGCAAAATCTGCTATCCGGTTTAAGAGGAGTTGCATTCACAAAATTTCTACATAGTATATAGTGAAAAAATCAACAAAGGGCCATAAATCTGTTAAAATTTGGTCGCAGCAAAAATTCCTTCCTTTACTACCATCTACACCTGAATGTTGTTCATCCCTGTAAGTTTAAAGCAAAATCTGCCATCCGGTTTAAGAGGAGTTTGCGTTCACAAAATTTCTACATAGTATATAGTGAAAAAATCAACAAAAGGGCCATAATTCTGTTAAATTTGGTCGCAGCAAAAAAATCCTTCCTTTTACTACCATCTACACATAAAGGTTGTTCATCCCTGTAAGTTTAAGCAAATTCTGCCATCCAGTTTAAGAGGAGTTGCGTTCACAAAATTTCTACATAGTATCTAGTGAAAAAAATGAACAAAGGGCCATAATTCTGTTAAATTTGGTCGCAGCAAAAATTCCTTCCTTTACTACCATCTACACATTAAGGTTGTTCATCCCTGTAAGTTTAAGCAAAATCTGCCATCCGGTTTAAGAGGAGTTGCGTTCACAAGATTTCGGGACGTACGGACGGACGGACTGACGGACGGACGGACGGCCGTACCAAAATTTGATGTTTATGAGGCAAATGAGCTCATAAACACCACCTGGACCAATGTCCATAAGCAAAATAAGCTCATAAAAACAAAAAAAGCTAGCTCTTAATTTTAAATTTTATGAGTTTATGTTCTTTAGTTTAACTACGGAATGAAGCTTCATAATAATCAAATGTTGGCTCGGACGGACTGACGTATTGACGGGACTGACGGCCACGGACGGACAAGTGCAACGCTATATGCTCCCACATTGTGGGGGCATAAAAAGGAAATACATGTTAAAGCCTACCAATCAAAAACTCTATATAAAAATGATAACGTCACCTGATTGATTTTAGAGTTTAGGTTGGTTTCTTCACTGCCAGCAACACGTAACAAATGTTGTATGATATATTTACATGACTCTGACTTGCCCCGCCCCACTCTCTCCTGATATAACATGACATTGTGACTTCTTATTGAATCTAAGACGTTTGTATGATTTCTCAGCAATGCCATATATATGAGGTGGTAGTTTTGTCTCTGAGATGGCAGTGTGATACAGCATAGTTATCTACAAAATAAACAATGATAATTTTTTCTTCTTTAATTTGCAGCACGACAAAAAATGTTTTATGCGTTAAAAGTCAAATATTTTAACTATGACAAGACTAGTATTTTAAAATTTAAGAAACGTAAATTATTTTTTAACCACAGGTAAATGAAAGTCAATTGTGATTACTTACATATTCTGCTGATTGTTTCTAAATTAAATATTTTACCATCACCATGATATAATGTTAAATTCTGCTTAAGCTGGAGCTAGGGGGCGAGGATGGTAACTTGCACATTCCCTATCGTCCATGACAGGCTCAATCAAACTGAGCCTGCAACATTTTCAATTATGTCTATTTTTGCATTTTTTTGGGGTATTCTTTATTTCAATCCATTTCACAATAATTATTATATCTCTATCAAATAAATCCATTCAAACAATAAAAGTTCCTTAACACAACTGCAGGATTGAACTGAGATCAGAGACAGAGAAATTTGATAATTTAATGTTTACTGTCCATGGTTTATTTCAATTATTCACCAGTCACAATGTAATTAAATTTTCCATTTTAAATGTTATATAATATTATAAAACTAGAAATGTGTCATCATGCCACGGATGCCCCCGCATGCAGCCAAAAATTTCAGATGGTGCATTAATTATTTTTTTCATTTTTTAAGTTCAAAAGCCCTTAAAACTTGTTCAATGTTAAACACAAACCATTTTCATACAATTTTCAAGGCACTGAAATAATTCAGTCTAAACCTTTTAAAAATAGCATATTGCATATTTGTAGCCAAAATAATGGCTTAAAAGTAAGAGTGCTGAAACTGAAAACTTCAAAATTTTTCCAACATTCAGGAAAGATAAGTTTGTCTTAAATCATTGAACTACAAACCAAATTCAAACTTAAACTGCTTATTCCTAAGATGTATCTATATTATTTTCAAAAGTGAAAGGAGACATAACTCTGCCAAAAAATCATCAAACCATGACCAAATTCCAACTTGACCTGCCCATTCGTTTGACATATCCATATGTCAAATTTAAGTTGAATATGTAACACTGTGTTGGTAGATAATGAACAGAAACTGTAAATTTCATATTATTTTCAAAGTGAAAGGGGATAACTCTGCCAAAAATCATTGAACCATGACCAAACTCGAACTTGGCCTGGGCATTCCCAAAAACAGTTGAATGTGTTGCACCATTGGGGAGATAATAAATGGAAAATGAAAATTTCATATTACTTTCAAAGTGAAAGGGCATAACTCTGACAATAATCATTGAACATGACCAAATTTGAACTTGACCTGCACATTCCTTTGACGCATCCATATGTCAAGTTTGAGTTGAATGTGTTGTACCTTTGGGGAGATAATGAACGGAAACTGAAAATTTCATATTATTTTCAAAGTAAAAGGGGCATAACTCTGCCAAAAATCATCGAACCACGACCAAATTCGAACTTGACCTGTATTTTCTCATGACATATCCATATGTCAAGTTTGAGTTGAATTGTGTTGTACCGTTGGGGAATAATGAACGGAAACTGAAAATTTCATATTATTTTCAAAGTAAAAGGGGCATAACTCTGCCAAAATCATCGAACCATGACCAAATTCGAAACTTGACCTGTATTTTCTCATGACATATCCATATGTCAAGTTTGAATTAAATGTGTTGTACCGTTGGGGAGATAATGAACGGAAACTGAAATTTCATATTATTTTCAAGTAAAAGGGGCATAACTCTGCCAAAAATCATCGAACCATGACCAAATTCGAACTTGACCTGTATTTTCTCATGACATATCCATATGTCAAATTTGAGTTGAATGTGTGCAACCGTTCTTAAGATAATGAACGGAAACTGAGATGATGACGGAATGACAGAATGACGGAAAGGACGGAAGGATGGAAGGACGGAAAGGACGGAACAAGGACGGAAGGACGGAATGACGACGGAACAGCGGTAACACTATATGCCCGGCCATTACATGGCGGGGGCATAAAAAAACCATCTTACATCTTTTGCATAGCATGGTAGTGACTGGAATGGGTTAACAGCTATCAGAACATCTCCAATATATGTCTGAAATAGACAAACAATTAGTGAATATTGTTCTTATTTAAGACCAGTTGAAGAAGTCATATATGTTTACACTTTTACATTATCAATCTAAAACAGACTCAATCTAAACGAGTTCTGTAATTTTCATGTATTTTCTGTTATTTCTATTGCTTTTTTAATTGTTCTTACTAAGCATGTCAACTTAAAGATCCTGTATGTTGTAACTAAGGATGTAACATTGTGGTGTTGGTAGTTTATTAACT